TGATAGAGATGGATGACGTTTCACAGACCAACTGAGTCTTCTAGTATTATGACTTCGAGTGATTACATTTTTTGTGCTCGATGTATTTATGTTTATCGATTAAGCATGTTATTTTGGACTCAATGTTATCGACTATGAGTATTATTTTGGACTCGATGTATTTATGTTTATACATCGGCTATGGATGTTATTTTGGATTCGATGTATTTATGTTAATCGTTTATACATGATATGAACCTTTACTTGCAGAAAATTATTAGGGTCGGCCCGAGCCCGAACCCGAGCCCTATAGGGTCGGGCTTCGGGTTCGATTTTATAAGCCAAAAAAAATCAGGTCGCCCCGAGCCTGAACTCGAAATCTTCAGGTCAATTGCGGGCTCGGGTCGGGTCGGACCAGGCCGACCCGATTGACACCCATAGGATACAGACCCTTTCACAAGACAAGTTCATGCGAGGGTGCGTTTGGAGTCGTCATTGCGGAAAGGTGTAAATTTCTATATCTCTCTCTCCCAGTTTCTTCATGAGTTTATGGTTAGTTTTAGGGTTAATTACATAAAACCTCCAATAAAGCATTTGAAATTTGGTTTTTGGTGTTGATAGTTGAATCTTGAGAAACAGGACGGATTGTTAAAATATGGATAGGATCAGTCTATTGCTTGATGTATTGTTGTTGCGGATTTTTTCTTTGGTTCCGACAAAAGATGTGGTAGTTACTATGGTTTTATCTAAACGGTGGTAGTCACTTTGGAAAATGGTGCCGAAACTATAGTGTAATTCTCTCATAGACGAGACTAAAGAGGGAATGTTTGTGGAATTCGTTTAATGTCTTTACTTTTCAATAAGGCTCAAATTCTAGAAAGTTTGTGTCTTGTATTTGAAGAGGGGGTTGTTCGTCCAGTAGATAGATTTGAGAATATGGGTTGCAATCTTGGTTTAAAAAAATGTGAGATGGTTCAAGGCGCAAAAGATCTAAAAAAACAAAGCGTGAGGCGCAAGGCGAAGGCATGCATCTCACGGATGCGAGGCGTGTAAATAAAAAATTATCGAAAATGAATTTTAAATATATTGTAAATATAAAATTCAATTACCAAAATATCTAAAATAAATCCAAGTGAAATAAACAAAGAGGAAATGCAAATATTTATTAATGAAATATTTAATCAAAATCGGCATCTTCGTATTCTCCATCATCTTTATAATCTTTGTCTTCACCGATATCTTCTTCCTGCTCATCGAAATAAGCAATGCACTCTCATTTATGAATTGACGAGGAAGAAAGAGAACTATTTTTTGCACTTGTTGATCCTCTAGTATGATAACTACGATCATGGACTCCAACAACTCTACCAACTTGACTCCACATGAGGCCATCATCACCAATAAACACAAAATCATTATCTTCATCTGAGCTACCTTCCATTCTACCAATTAGTCATTCATTGCTTTCATCAATATCTTCTAACATAATAGGATCCATGGTGTCATTCATGTTGTGTCGTCGTTATTTAATCGGCTTTGTGCTAACTTATTCTTCTTCTTTGTGTGAATCTGGAAATCAAATTTAAAACATATAAAAATATATAATTTTATATAGTGCAAATAAAAAGAATGTTAGATATTACTTACTTGTTGAAAAACACTTCAATTTCTTTCAAAACCAGTGGCACCGCAAGTGAAACTAAGGATCTTTATAGCAAACTTTTGGAGATAGGGAGTAGAAGATCCAAAAGAAATCCACCAATCCGCTATTAAAATGTAAAAAAAAACAAAAGCATTAGTAATTCCTAATACAACACAATTAATATAATATATATATCTTAAATTTTAAAATTTGATACCTGGAGATTGTGTATTCCTTAGTCTAATGGCTGTCAGTAAACCAAATAGACCATTTGCAAATCTATATTCTGCTAATTCTTTTATTATTAGATTTTCCGTATCGAAAGAACCTGACAATTTGGAAATACACTCGTAGACACCCTTCATAACTTCTTCACAAGTTATGTTTGGATGATCATAATAGAGACTTGGGTTTAGAAAATAACTGGCTGCATACAAAGGTCGATGAAGTTGGCATTCCCATCTTCTATCAATATACTCAAATGCTACATTGTAATGCTCATCTTTCAATCTAAAACTCGAAGCAATAGTCTCTATAACCCTATCCATGGTTGCATAAATATAACTCATTGATGGTTTTTTCTCTCCATCAACAATCCTGAGAACCTTAACAAGAGATCCTGTCAACTTAAGATCTTCGTAGAAGATACAGTGTAAATGTTAACAATTGCCTCCACCACCTCAGGCAACTCCTCGACCACCAAAAATTCACTTGTGGAACAATTTACAATGTGCAAATACTTTAAAGAAGGAGCATTTATCACCAACCCACCATGATATCTTCCACACATGTTATGTGTAGATAATCTTTGTAAGCTCGACACTGCAATATTGCAAGTTTTCTCCCCACGGGGAACCATTCCACAACCAAATCTTTAAGAACAAGACAACTAGATAAAAGCCCATGAAAACACTCGCATCTAAATTGTTCACTTGTATGAGATGCAAAGTCTTGAGGGACAAGAAACAAGCTTGAGAAAGCACATCCACAAGAATGTATTCTCGGAATATCAGAGTCTCGAGATCCACAAGTGTACAGGCTACTTGACAAGCGAATCTCTTTCTTCATCGCCATAATTGTAAGAACAAATCTCGAGC